TAAGGCCTCTCCTACACTCTCAACTCCCAGAATAGAGGCCTGAACACTGCTCCTCCTTTTCATTTAATTACAGTACAGAGCACTTTAGATGTGAACTGTTCTCAAATAAATAATGATACAAATGTAACTTTCACATGTATTAATGTTCAGTTTCATTGTCTAATGTCCCAGCAGAGATTAAGAAAACACACACTTACTTCCTTTCCCCAAATAGGGAGACCAATACTATAAATGGTGCTCCAGATGTGATCTCAATGCCCAGTATAACGAAGCCCCTCTATTTTAGCTTTCAATTTACAATGCAATAATCAATAATATTCTATTTGCTTTCCCAATTACCTGCTGTGCCTGACTAACATTGAAATTCAATTTGGGATCCCTGAATCCTCTGCAGAGCTCTGCAATCTCTCACCATTGAGATAAGCAATTTTTTTTATTCTTCTTACCAAAATAGGCCATTGTGCTGTATTGTTTTGTTTTCCCAGATCTTTACCCACTCACAACTGAGCTCTCCTTGCAGACCCCTCATGTCCTCTTCACAACTTACTGACCTATCTTTGTGTCATCAGCAGATTTGGTAACCATATCTTCAGTCCCTTCATCCAACTCTTTTATACAAGTTGTTCAAAACAGAGCATAAAAAAACTACTGCTCCTAGCAGAGAGCACCTTGGCACACTAGTAGTTTCTTGACACTAGAAAATGACCTATTTATGCCTGCTGTTTCCTGATGTCAATTAATTCTCTTGTTGGTCAATACCAAGAAAATATAGCCTATTTTCCAGTGTCAAAGCACACAGTTAAGAAACTATCGCCAAAAAAATTCATGAATTCCTTAAGGGTATTACTGCCCATCTGATATTTTCCAGTCTGCATACAAGAATTAAAATCCCTGACAACTGCCAGATTTTTCAGACAAGCTTCCATTCTTTGATATTCCATCCTGCTATGTGGTTATTATTCAGTGACTACCCCATTCCCACAAGTGACTCCTGGCCTTTATCATTCCTCATCTCTACCCAAACTGCTTCAATATCCTAGTTTCCTGAATTTAGGTCATCCAGCTGTATTGTGCAAGTATCACCTTTAAAATCACTGAACCATTCTTTCATCTTTTCCCAGCTTTGTCTTGTTTAACCATCACCTACCCTTCAATATTCAGATCCAAAACTTATTTCATTCTACAGCCATGTCTCTGTAGCGTCCATTAGCACAAATTAAGATAAACAAATACGAACTAAGTATTCATCTGTTGTATCTTGAATGCTTAATATTCAGATACAGCCTCAGGTTTTGTCCTTTAATTAATTTTGTAATGTCTAATCTTAGCTGTTGATTTACTGTTAGATTTGCACTTTGTCCCTTCCTGTCCTGTTTATCATTTCCCATACTAATACCTTATCTTGCTTTGTCAAAAATTGGATTTTCCACCCCTTCACAAATTTGATTCCTTGTTCTCATTATTTAATTTGAAACCTTCGACTTCTCTAGCTACATGGCTTGCAAAAACACCAGTCTTAGCGTACTTCCAATGTAGATAAACCCACCACTACAGCCTTCACTTTCCCCAGCCAATGCCCCAAAAACAGAACTCAACTTCTCCCTCAATCTTTGAGCCATGCATTCAGCTCTCTAATCTTATGTCAATTTGTACATAGCTCGGATAATTATCCTGAGATTACCTTTGAGATTTTACTTCTTAAATTTACTACCTAGCTTCAATGTACGGATTTTTCAGAATCCTTCCTATGCCAGTTTTACCTACATGGATCCTCCTCTTGCTATTCTTTTGCTCAGAGCTGGAGCAGATGCACAGCATCTCTGGACTCACACTTTGCTTCAGAGAACAGCGTGAATCCCGTTCAGTAAACTGTCTGCTATCATCACTATGTGCCAATACAGCCAATGGCCTCTGCTCCCAGATAGGAAAGACGACTTGAGACTGTCTTTTCTTTTCTTCCTGAGTAGGAAAGTTTATGCTCCAATCCCAGGCTCCACTTCTGACAGCCTCTGCTCCACTCCCAGGTAGGCAAAGCTGCCTTTCAATCCCCAGGCTATATTTATTCTGGTCACAATAGAAAGTCTCATCAGAAAGCAAAATTTGTGGAAAATAACTACTAATGTATTTACCATGGAGGTAAAAAGATCTGTAATTCCTCTCACCCCTGAAGTTGAAAGAGGAAGTCATTATTTTTAATCAATACTGAACCTAAAACAATTGCTTTCCCAATTGAGATCAGCTTAGCTCAGAGCTTCTCTGAATAGGTTGGTTAAAAATATTTGAAATCAGAGTGGGTAGGATAGAATCACACATCTAGATAAATCACTAGTACAAAAGGAGGAAGAACCTAAGGAATCCAAAGTAACGAGTGGTGGTGGTGGTGACAGTGATATTGTCACTAGACTGGTAAACCAGAGTCCCAAGTTAGTGTTCTGTAAAGATGGGATCAAACCATGGTAGGTGGAAAATCAGAATTGGACAAATCTAGTCTAATGGTTACCATGCAACCATCAAGAGTTGTTGGAACAAATCATCTGGTTCTAGATAAGGAAAATCTCCAGTCTTTACCTGGTCTGACCTATATGTGACTCCAGATCCATAGCAATGCCACTGACTCGTGAATGACTCAATGCCACTCAGTTAGAGGGCAAATAGGGATGGGCAACAAATGCTGGCTTTTCCAGCAACAGCCAGAATCCCACTGAAAGACAGATCTGCATATTCAGTCAACTACAGTTGAAGCCAAAAAGTGGAAAAGCAGCCAGAGTTATGGCGACCTTGAAATGGTCAATTCTGAACTGAGTAATATTACTGTTTGTAAATCATGTTTTTATTTTCAGACCCCATGCCAAATTTATTTTTAAATCAGAATCCCTACAGTGTGGAAACAGGCCACTGAGCCCAACAAGTCTATACCGCCCTTCCAAAGAGCATCCCATCCAGACCCATTCCCCTACCCCTGCATTTCCCATGTCTAACCCACCTAACCTAAATATCCCTGAACACTATGGGCAATTTAGCACAGCCAATCCACCTACCCTGCACACCTTTGGACTGTGGGAGGAAACCGGAGCAAACCCACGCAGACGCGGGGAGAACATGCAAACTCCACACAGACACGTCGCCCGAGGCTGGAATCGAACCCGAATCCCTGGCACTGTGAGGCTGTAGTGCTAATCACTGAGCCACCATGCCGTATGTTTGACTACATAGTACTTTTCTAACAGCAGACTCAATGTACTTTGGTCGTGGTTATCGGTTAAAACATGAAATTCTCAGTTAGTGGATTACATAACTTGATCCAAGGACCAACATTCATAACTCATTTGTGTACTGCCACGAGAACAAAGACAACTTCAGAAGTAGAAAGGCTGGATACTCAATGGTTACTCACCTGTATGATGAGATAAGCTTCATTGTGCCTTACTGACTTTAGAAAATTATTGTCAATCACTACTGACAGGCGAGGTTAACACCCACTTCTTTAAAAAAAGCTAGCCAATCACTGGTACACTACTTACCCTCAAAAAGCTTATTCATTCTCAAAACAAAAAAGTTTTTTGAAATTTTGTATTCAGTACGTGAGGGGGATTTAGAGGAATTATTACTAGTTAATGCTGTTTATAGA